CAGAGGATCAAGTTTGCTGAAGGGGACGAGACCCCACTGCTGCCCACACCACCGCCACTGGCTGCTCCTCCACCGATTCCACAGATGGTGCCCGCCACTCCGCAACGGAGCGCCAGTGGCCAGAACATTCCGGCGGACAGCAGCCACTACGGCTTCCTGGTGAAGAGCTACAAGCAGCAGTGCCCACCGGTGGCGGGCAGTGCCGTCACGCAGCCACTGCTGGCCAAGATCAACTCATAGCTGTATGGGGGGGAGTCGACTCCCTCTTCACTGTAATCATATGCATATTAAATGTACTTGTTTGTGATAATAAGTTAAACCCAAGTTGAACAAGTTAGTGGTTAGTCAATAGTCGACCGAATCAAATTCGAAATTCGTACGGGAAATCTTCTAAAACGTTTCCTAGCTTTTAATCGCCCCTTCCCTTTACTCATAAGTAGCGAATTTTATATGTAACCAAACCTCAAATCAAAAAAAAAAAAAAAGGAACACTAGATGTAACTAGAAACTTACTCCCAATCAATTTGTTCCTTGTGCTTTGAATATTCATTCTCTCCAAACTCAAAAAATTAGCTTATATTAGATATTACTTAGGGATAAGCGTAGACAATTTGTGAAAATTTCTTGAATGTAAAGTATTAGATGAACATTGAATATTTATTTTGAGAATTGCCGAATAAAGAAATCCATATAATCAATCAACTTTATAATGCATTTGTGTTTCATACAAAATATTTCAAAAATCGGATTGCGAGACCAAGGAATGGTGAAATAATTTAAAATTCTGATAAGATAGTGGTGGAAAACTGCGCGCCAAACTGAAAATCAGGGATGGAAACTAGCGTGACCGTTTATTGAAATTTCTTTCTTGCGTGTGATAGGAGAAATTACTTTTAACGTTTACTTTATCGCATAAAAGTAGTTTTTATGAAGAGTTATTTAAAAGAGATTAAAAACTCTCCTTGAATTGCTCTGGTCTAATAAAAACCTTTCAGATAAAGCTATGATAAACAAATGAACTGAAACTCACCCGCTCCAGTGCAGAATGTGCATGTGGTATATTGTGAGTAAGCAGAAACAGCCACACTGAGCCCTTTGGCCAAGATTATTTATGTTGATCGTTGGTGTCGAGTGCGCCGGATTTGCTTGCCAGTTGTCCATTAGTTGAGTTATCACCTGTCACACTGCTGATAGCTGAGTTCCCTCCAAAGCGCGACTTCTTACAGCGGGTAAGAGGTTAGTACAAGCCCCAGCGGCTCATCGAGCATACGCAACATTGCATAATTTAGCATATCCAATGGGCTGGATGAATTGCAGTTTCCACGGTTGCCGGATTCCAGGGTGTCGGACCTCCTGGTGCCGTGCTGAAAAACCACTACATTAAATATACTTATCAAATCACAATTTGCACTCCGCTTACCTGGAGGCTAAAAAGTGATTTCCCTTTTGGGGGCGTCTGATAATTTGGGTGATTAATTGCGAAAGTGCCGCCTATAAAACAAAGTAATTGTGTTCACCGAGCTGTTTCAGTCACAGCTCCTCTTTATCTGGCACGTTTCTATCAGAGCTTATCGTTTCGCAATTGTTTTTGTCGCTGCACAGGAACCCGGACTACACCATGCTGTACTGCCCGCCCAACGTGACCCTCAGCGAGGTCTGGACGCAGCATGGCATCTCGCATTGCTTCATGGACACCGTGGGACCGGCGGTATACGGCGGATTCCTGCTGCTCTTCGGCTGCATTCAATTGCTGATGTACCGGAAGTATGCCACCCGGATAACGGATCCCACGCAAATCCCCAAATCCCGGCTCCTCGCCCTGCAGCTCTTCCTTTTGCTCCTGCTCCCAGTTTTGGCTCTATTGCGGTTTCTGATGAACGCACGTATTTATCCAGACAGTGCGGTGTACGGGTATATGGTAAGTTTGAGAATAATCAAGGGAAGCCTATTCTTTTCTGAACCCATTCTTTTCTGCAGATCTTCTCCACTTGCGTTGTGTGCTTCTCCTACCCTTTCAGCATCTGTTTGATACTCAAAGAGCGCTACTACCAGCTGCCCTCTATGCCCACCCGAGGGCATGGCCTTGTTCTATTGCTATTCTGGACACTGGCCTTCATCAACGAGTCGCTGGCCTTTATGAATTTGCGCCACGAGGATTGGTGGTTCCACCTAAAAACGTAAGTAATGCAAACGGCTATAAATCGGATAATCTATAGTACCGATTTAACTACCCACAGTAACAAGGATCAAATTGAGATGGGCTTGTTTGTCACCCGGTTTCTTTGCTCCCTGCTCATCTTCGTGTTGGGTCTAAAAGCGCCTGGCATCATGGCCCCGTACAATCCTCATCAGCGGCTGGACAATGATACCGCCGAGTCGCAGGGAAATGTGCAGACAGGATCTGCTTTCAGGAACGGGTGGCGCAAGCTGCGCACCGTCTTTCCATACCTTTGGCCTAGGAAGAATATTGCCCTGCAGATAGCCGTCATCGTTTGTATTATTCTCCTGCTTGCCGGTCGAGTCATAAAGTTATTTTTGCCGATTTATCGCAAGAAGTTGGGTAGGTCAGGAATTATGGACGCAGTACGTTAAGTAATTCATTGCTAATCTTCTGTTTCGACAGTTGACAGTCTTACCGTTGCGCCGATCGTCTTTCGATGGGACTTTGTGCTGGTCTACGTGGCATTATCCTTCCTCCAGGGTGGCGGCACTGGCAGCATGGGATTGTTTAATAATCTCCGCACCTTCCTCTGGATACGGGTTCAACAGTACACGACCCGGGAGATCGAGATTGAGCTATTCCAGCATCTCCACCAGCTTTCATTGAGATGGCACTTGCAACGCAAAACGGGAGAGGTGCTGCGTGTCATGGATCGCGGCACGGACTCCATCAACAACCTCCTCAACTATATTGTCTTCTCGATTGCACCCACCATTTTGGATCTACTCGTTGCAGTTGCATACTTTGTATACGCCTTCAATTGGTGGTTTGGGCTAATCGTGTTCCTCACCATGTTCCTGTATATAGGCAAGTCAGAAAAATAATTATATTAATTGCAATCGTATTTCAATCTATCTTTTAATTTCACAGCCTCTACCATTGCAATCACTGAATGGCGAACCAAATACCAGAGGAGAATGAACCTGGCGGACAATGAGCAGCGTGCTCGCAGCGTAGACTCCCTTCTAAACTTCGAGACAGTCAAGTACTACGGAGCGGAGAACTACGAGGTGGATTGCTATAGGGCGGCCATTCTCAAATACCAAAAAGAAGAGTTTCTTTCAATGCTGACCCTTAACATGTTAAACACAGCCCAGAATATTATCCTGTGCTTGGGCTTACTGGCCGGATCGTTGCTCTGTGTATACTTAGTGGTTCACCATCAAACTCTCACCGTCGGCGATTTTGTGCTCTTTTCCACTTATCTGATGGAACTGTACATGCCTCTGAATTGGTTCGGCACCTATTACCGAGCCATACAGAAGAACTTCGTGGACATGGAGAACATGTTCGATTTGCTGAAAGAGGAGGAAGAGATTGTGGATGCTCCAGGCTGTTCGCCCCTTTTAACTGCCGGCGGTGGAATTGAGTTCTCAAACGTGACCTTTGGCTATTCACCCGAGAAGGTAGTGTTGCGCAATGTGAGCTTCACAGTTCCCGCTGGAAAAACGGTGGCAATTGTTGGACCCTCTGGAGCCGGCAAGAGCACCATCATGCGGCTGCTCTTTCGCTTCTACGATGTGCAGACTGGAGCTATCATGATTGACGGACAAAACATCAAGCTCGTGCAGCAGCAGAGTCTGCGAAAGGCCATTGGAGTGGTGCCCCAGGATACGGTTCTCTTTAACAACACCATATTCTACAACATAGAATATGCCAAGTTGGGCGCTTCTGACGATGCTGTCTATGACGCTGCTCGCGCAGCCGACATTCACGAAAGGATACTCAGCTTTCCGGACAAATATGAGACAAAGGTGGGCGAACGAGGTCTTCGGCTTAGTGGAGGTGAAAAACAACGAGTAGCCATCGCCAGAACCCTTCTGAAGGCGCCAATTATTGTGCTCCTGGATGAGGCCACCTCAGCTTTGGACACCCACACAGAACGTAATATTCAGGCTGCTTTGGCAAGGGTCTGCGCAAACCGTACCACCATCGTTGTTGCCCACCGGCTGTCCACCGTCATCCATGCGGACGAGATTCTGGTGCTGCAGCAGGGAAGCATAGCGGAGCGTGGCCGGCACGAAGAGCTTGTACTGCGCGAAGATGGAATCTACGCGGACATGTGGCAACAGCAACTAAAGAACCTAGATGCGGAACAGAGTGGTGGTTCAGACAACGGAGACGCTAGTGCAGAATCGGGATCGGAGAAACGCAGGCCAGGAGGAGGTGGACCAAGTGGTGCCGGACCAAGTGGTGCTGGACCAAGTGGCGCTGGACCAAGCGGTGCCCACTTCAGGACGGGACATGCTCATGGGGGAGCACGCTAGCCTTAAGAGACATACAGAGTAGTATCTAATATTCCTGATTCCATGTGATTTGTGGTGTATTGTTATACGTATGAGCTGTTCGTCAGAGTCTTAGTTCGTCTATAAGTAACCTTATACGCTACTCTTATGCTAATAAATAACGTAGATTTTTATAGATAATCCACAAGATTTGGAATAATTTAAAAGTTCTGGTACCAAATAAATAGCGCAATATTGTATACTCCTAGTGCTCTAGTCATTAAATTATTGATTCTTGGAGTGATATAAAATTGTCCTTTGGAATAGTTCTGGAAAACTTAAAATTATTAAAGAATCTTCGATTAGGAATGTCAAATTTGAGAATCTGTTTTCTGGTCCGTGATACATTGTTCTAGTGGACGCGGCAAAAATCTATTTATAGGACATTTCCCAAGAGTAGTTAGTCCCCAGAGATTGTAAGAGAAGCTGCTCTTCGCAGCAATGATTCTTATCAACGAAACCTCCAGCAAGGCCAAAAATCCGGCTGTTATGCTCAGTTTGAGCTTGGATCGCGAACAGAGCAGTCGTGTCGATCAGTGATCCGGGAACTAGACGCGTTGGTGATAAAGAAGGAAAAGCGTCGGCCACTTTGTAAAATCTGATAGTTCACAGTCACAGTATATATTGACTGATATTACATTGAGAAATCTGTGCGCCAAGTGAAAAGCGTCGGGAAATCTGTGGAAAAGCGAGTGCCACAACCTCGGAAGGAAGTACCAGGTCATGAGGCTACTCAAGTGCTCCGTGTTTGTGTGTACGTGAGAGTAAGCTAGTTGATAATCCCAACTGTATCAGAAACTAATAAAAGAATATGACGTAATTATTCATTGACGAGGCGCGCATCAAAACGAAACCTAGAAAACACATTAAAGCGTTTTGCGATCATTATATATACACATGCACATTTAGTACATATATGAAATTCAATTGATAATTGAAGAGTTTATTGCCCATCCACGAGAATGCGACATAGAGATGGCGGGCAAAAGCGAGCGGATGGGAAGAGCATCCAACGAATTGAAGTTCAATTTCCCATTTATCTATCTATCCGGCAGTTCTGTTCCTGATCTTCGACGCCGGCCATGCCTTCAGCATCATTGGCGTCAACAAACAGATGCTCTACGAGTACGAGGGCAACGTCCTGGTGGGTGCGAAGCCCCAGGACGAGGGCCACCAGGCGCCACCCACCACCGGATGGATTGTGCGGGGCAAGCTGACGCTCCAGCGACAAAGCGAGCTGGTCTTGGCTGCGGCGGTGAGTTGTCTAGGATCAGTTCCTGTTTCAGAAATACTTAGGAAATATTTCAGCTTATCTTCGGCTACCCGTCAACGACGATTACTGTTTCTTAATACTATTTTTGTTTATACAAATCGATCGTCTTTGGATCTATGTCATTATGTACTATACTTTTTGTATGTACAAGAATATTTACATCAATTGGAGATCGGTGAAAAATCAAATCAATTAATTGATTTCATTATCAATTTATACGATCCAATCGGCGCATTCTACAGCCCCCATTTCCCATCTTCAGCGACTTCTTTTCAGTCTCCGCAGACGAAGAAGAATTCGCAGATGAATTAAAGACAATTTAACCTTTCAAAGAGCGGGAGCGACTCTGGAAAAGATCGGAGCTCAGTCGCCACAATAAACTGAACTCGGTTGTGAACTTCTTTCATTGAGCCCCCACAGATAATTTCATTCCCCTTCTCCTCCCTTTTGTTAATCAGCTCTGATTGTTTTGACTGAGTGCGACTCTCTAGGAGTAGCCTTCGCTTATCAGGGATCGGGCATCTGGGGACCTGGCGGAGGTCCATGCGCCATATGTGCGCCATATGAGAACGCCGATCTGACTAATTTCTGTTGCCAGATAAACGGCGGCGTGTCTTATCAGCCGGTTCAGTTGGGCTCGACCCTGGTCGATCGAAGATTACAGCATTATTGCAGGGCTTTCCCGGCTAATCGTCTAATCTGCTCTCTGCCCGACAGCTGGTCATAGACGACGTAACGCTGAACAACTCCGGCGAGAAGTTCCTGCAGAACAAGGAAATGTACCCGCCCTATAAGCCCTTCAAGATCGCCCTCACCAAGGACGGCAATATCTCACATGTGGTCTTTAAGGAAGGCGACCCCATATGGAGCATGAACTTCAAGCGGGCCATCGCATCGGTTCTGCAGTTCCAGATGAAGTCCAGTGGGGCCTTCGTCGTGGATGAGGTAAGTTAGTACTCCGCAGATTTGATTACTCCCGATTTGTAATCGTATTAATCGTCCTAATTTATACAATATTTTTACGGATAGCTGGGTATTCACGGTACCTGCCGCACGGAGTACTTTGTGTCCAACAGAACAAACTACATCTCCATCCGAAAAACGCCAGAGGTTAAGACCTGCACGCCGTACTCGGAGGCGGTTCACACTACCCGCAGCAACGTGCCGCCCAATACGTGCGAGTTCGATCACCAGAAAAGCGTGATTATTGGCAATGAGGCCATTTACGGGATGTCCCCCCACAACGAGACGGGTTACTATCTGAGTATGGCCCATGCCAAGGGCACAACCCTGATCCACACGTTCGAATCCACGGGTGAAGCACAATTCATAAACTCAGAGTTACTCCTTAACTTCCTTAACGAGACGCCAATCGACAATCCCATCGATATTGAAACCTCCATGGCGGCAGAGCCCTCTAACCTGGAACTGCAGCGGCTGGATCCAAATGATCCCACTGGAGGACGAAGCCCGCAGCAGCAGGAGACTCTGATTGCCCAGGCGGGAACACTCCTAGACAGTCTGGCCGAAGCCCTCGAGACTACGGAATTCAAGTTCTCTGAACCCTACGACTCAACTCTTTCTGACGTGATCAAGCTTCTCAGCGAGATGGACTTTGATTCACTTACTAAGCTCTATCGGGAGGTGGACATTGGCACCTCCTATCGCCAGGAGACCATTCGCAACATCTTTCATGAAATCATTCCCCGCATTGGAACTAAAGCCTCCGTTTTCCTGACCCACCATCTGGTGCTGAACAAGTTGACTAAGCCGCAAATCGCTGTGCAATTGCTGATACCCATGCCATTCCACATATTTGAGCTCTCGGCGGAGTTGGTGCAAAAGTGCGAGGACTTCCTCAATATCGGACCCGATCGCCCGGATGTGCGGCAGGCCGCTATCCTAAGCTTTGCCACCCTCATCCACAATGTCTATGTGGCCAAGGGCATCGATAGGGAAAAGTTCGAGGAGTACGTCCAGAAGTACTTTAATGCCTATCTCAGTAAGTGTACTTTACATCGACACCGTAGGATCTCAGTGATTCCTGTTTGATTTTCCAGGCGATCGTGACTTCGACCAGAAGATGTTGTATCTGCAGGGTCTTAACAACTTGCAACTGGGAAACGTGGCCAACTATCTGGAGCCCATTGTCCAGGACCCCAACGAGCACGAGGACCTGAAGTTCCAGGCCGCCTGGACGACCCTGGCACTGGCGGATCGACGAGCGGAGCGCATATACGAGGTCTACTGGCCGATCTTCGAGTCGAGAAATGCCAGCCTAGAACTTCGTGTGGCAGCGGTTACTCTGCTCTTGATTTCCAACCCCACGGCCGCCCGTCTCATTAGCATACATCGCATCATTCAAAGCGAGACGGACCCTCACATGATCAACTACTACCGGACGACGGTGACGAGTATTTCGGAGACAACATATCCCTGCTACCAGCACCTGTGAGTCATCAGCCTGACTTACCAGCATCCACAGATGTCTTATATCCATTTTCCAGACGGCGTCTGCTATCCTACATGCATCGCCATCTGCCCCAGAAGCCAGAGTCACGCTACTGGGTCACCGGTAACTACATCTTTGACTATCGCGATTCCAAGTTCGGCATCGGAGCAATGCTTCAGGTCTTCCTCGTTGGCGATCCAAAGTCGGACATGCCAGTGGTGGCCTTCTTCAAATTCGACACCGAAGCCCTAGGCAAATTCACAGGTCAATTGGCGGTAAGTACATCTTCAATGGTTTTCGAGAATCTAATAAAAACGTCACCTTATTCCAGCTATACATCAAGGCACGTGGCTTGCCAGATACCATCCTGAACAAGATGCAATCGCAAAATGGCAGCGATCCGTTCACCTTTAAGAGCATTAAGGCGCTACTTGCCATGCTGCAGGCTCCGATCATCAACTCGAAGGACCTGCATCTGGAGTTCATCCTTCAAATGGAGGGTAAGACGGTGCTGTCTTACTATCTCAACCAGCGGATGTTCCGGCAGCTGACCTACGACAACAGTGAGTAGATTGACCTCTTGTCCATCAACCAAGTGCGGATCATACCCGTTTCTCGCAGTTCTGGAAAGAATGCAGCAAATCATCCGAACGGACAGTCACATCAACATGCAGACGGTTCGTTGGCCCTTCATGAATCGCTACACGGTGCCGACGGTGCTGGGAACCTCCTCCGACGTCCTGCTCCAGACCACCGTTCTCACCTCGCTGCGTGGCAATATAACCGAGCAACGCAACTCGCCAATAACCAAGCACACACTGGAGATTGATGCTCGGTACTCTTCATACGCCTCGGTACGCAGTCGCAGCTACAATCCGTTCCTGAACCTCGACCACGAGATCAACCGGGAACAGGGCTTCCTCATCTACATCCCCTTCAGCAGCGAACTGCATCTCAACGAGAGTGGCAGTAAGTGCAGGCGCTACTCCTTCTCCCGGCCCCAAAACTTGACCAGCGGCCTGTCCTTCAAATCGCGTGCGGTGACCAAGACCAGGGGTTTGATCACCAAGACAGCGGCGGCGCCTTTCGAGGAGATCATGGTCCCCGAGGGTCGGAACGATGTGGTAAGTGGTTTTGATGGGTATGAGAACTATAATTATGGAAAAATGTCGAGTAAAATTAAGTAAAATGAGTAAAATTAAGAATAATAATAAAGTCTAGCTCCCAGGTTCAACTATTTAGCTACCCAATGCCGGATTTGGGCGTCCGACTGAGCATGACCACCAATCTTAACGAGCTAATCAAGTACAGGGGCATGCTCCTAAAGTCCGAATTCACCGAGAAGTAATTTTCGTATTTTGAAACGCCCTTGCTCCTGAGCTAATCATTGCAATTTCAGTGGATTCTCCGGCAACATGGTGGTCACCGCTTTGATGTATATATTCGGCTTCACCCAGCTTAGCTCCATTCACCTGGGACATGACCGCAACTTTACGATGCTTATGTACAACGAGAAGACCACCAGAGTGAGAAATAAAATTCTAATTAATATTTGAAGCTAATACCCTTTTTTGTGCAGATTGAGGGTAACTTTTGTGCCGAAGACGTGTTAAAGACGTCGGACCTGAAAGGCAAGCAGATTGGTCTCACACTGGAGCACACGGACCACATGGACGAAAATCATGCTGCGGATGCACTCCATCGGTGGAACATTACCCTAGACGTACAGGCATCGACCAAGTCCAACTGGTTCAAGCTGACCGGCCAGGTTCAGCGAAATTCAAAGGACGACGAGGACGACTGGAAGGTGAGTGATTGTCTGTGACTAGGGGACAAATTTATTTAACCAAAGATACGTTGCTCCTGTTTCTCTACTGTCTGTCTGTGTTCGTGAGTACTTTGTAGTGACATTGATTGCTTCACAAGGTGTTTTAGTATTCGCTGTTTGTGTCTAACTTTCCTGTCCGGCTATTTCAAGCTCTTCCTCCGCGTTGATCAGGGCCACAACGCCATCCTGCACAGTTTTGACCAGTTCGAACTCGGTGAAACCCAGCTTCCTCTTATTTGATATGTCCATGACACCATCTTCCACGGTGGCTAGCTCGCCGCCATCGGTGCCACGTACCTGGAGCTGCAGTTCCTCAGCCAGTGCGAGTAGGCGGTCGGGGTCCTTGCTGAGCAGTGGCAAGCGGATATGCACCGAGGCCCGCAGGGTGGTTCCCAAATTGGTGGGACAGGCCGTAAGGTTTCCGTAACGCGGATGCCGCACAAAGGCCAGTGTCTTCTCCAGCTCTGTTAAACCGTTGACAAGGCGATTGTAGACGTCGCCCAAGTCACCGCACTGTGCCATGGACATAATGTGCACATGGTCCTGACGATTTACCCAGATTAAGAAGGTCTCGGCGGGATTGTGGTATACACCACGACCAGTTGGCCAGAAACGATAGCAGCCGGCTGTGGTCAGCTTCTCATTCCCTCGCTGAAATAATATATGCCTCTTGACCATCTCGGCCTGAGTCTCAGCATCGATGTCCGCCATCGTCAGATAGGAGCCAATCAGCTCGCCATCCATTGTCTCTGTGGCCGAACGCACCTTCTCCTCCACCTCTATGAACTGTTTCTCGGTCAGTTTGGGGAAGAAGGGCAGGCCCTCGATGTTTCGAGCCAATCTGATTCGTGCAGAGAGAATGTACTTGCGCTCCGGATCCAAGTTCTCAATCTCGTCCACGTTGCCAAAGTCAGGGTCCTTTTGCAGCACATCGCTCTCGTTGTCCATCTGGCCATGATAGTCCTTTATGATCGGATCAAAGAGCTTGTTGAACACGTCGTAGCTGTCTGCATCTGCCGCGAAAATGCCCACGGGCGCGTCATGGTGTTCGAATCCGGATACGGCGCAATCGTATAGGTAGGCATCCACTGGCGCAGGTGTGGTGACCAGCATGTACTCCTCCAGCAATTCCGGTGTCAGGTATTTGCGGAGCAGCGAACTCACGTTCTCCTCATCATCAATAAGCGATTTGTAGCCCTCAGTAGTGAGTTCCTGGTACTCTTCCGGTGACTTTTTGCTGTTGATTATAAATAAAATGTGAGTTAGGAATCGACTCTCAAGTCGCGATCTTAAGAACTCACATTTGTCCACGTAGCCGTTCAAGCTCCTGCTCCAGTTTCGAGATGTGGGTCTTGGCCTCCTCGAGGTCGTTCTTCATTACATCGTACTGGGCATCGTCCGGGCAGCTCTCGCACATAAACTTGCGAACAAAGCGGATGGCATCCTCCGGCTTATTCTGCTCCTCGTAAAGCTTGATCAAAGCCTTGCTTAGGGCATCGATGACACCGGCGCGTTCCAAATACTTTCGATATTGGACGCGTTTTGATTCGATCTGAAGTAGCAGCGGACGATCCCATAAGAATACAATACACATTAAACTTCTTATATCACTTACCGAAGTCATTTTGCAGTTTGTCCGAGCGAGAATTAAGTAAACATAAATTTATAAAAGCAACGCAAATGAATGCTCCCGAAGTCAGTACCGAAAAAAATCGAGAGTACTGGGTCTTTTTTCAGATTTTTAGCGCGTTCTTACAAAATAAAAGAAAATCTAATTTTTTTCCCAAAAAAATTTACTACAGGAGAAATTCGTCCGAACAGTAGCGTAACTGGTTGCCTTCTACTGAGCTCCCTCAGAGTCGTATTGATCAAACGGGCGACTTACGCCGCCAGGCCTGCTTCCCTCTAGTCCGGTTGCCAGACTCGGCTCTCGGTCTCGATTCCGGGACGCAAACAACCCACGAATGTGGGCCAACAATTGCGGCGGCTGCTTGAGTGGTTGGCAGGATGGGTGGTGTGTGTGTGTCTAATAAAGTGGCACGCAGGCAGGCACAAACGAAAGGGGGCTATACAGTCAGTCAGGATGTGTGTGGGTTCGCTAATCGTTGCTGCAGTTGTTGTGGCTCTGCTGTCTGCTGTTTCGTCATGGTAATGTGGCCCATTCCACGCGCCTGGAGCCCCAGCGAACCGCTGAACCCACATTTTCTTGTCTCAACGCTTGAGGCCAGCAGTGTAACTACTAATGCTTACCGAGTGTTACGCCCGCCACCCAATAAGACTTGGCACTTGACTTGTGCCGAGCCCAGCTGACTGATGACCTACTGGCTTTTTACATAAAGAACCGCCGTGGTTAGGAAAGTAAAAGCAACCATCACCCTTAATATGGCATTCCATATGTCATACTTTTAAAATCAATGACATTTTTAAAAACATGCCAAGTTGAGAGTAAATTAGTTCGATTTTAGGCCTATCATAAAAGTTTTCAAATAGACCGAGGGTATCGCACTTACCGATACAGCACATTGTCACTCATTTGCATATTTTCCTCAGGCCTGCACCAAGTTGACCTATGAACCGCTGGTGTTTACCAAGCGACCCCACACTCTCAATGGCGATGTGGTGTTCGGCCTGGCCACAGAGGAGAGCGAGTGCCCGGAGAAGGGTTCCACGGTGCAGTTTGCGGCTAGAGCTGGTGTAAGTGTAAACCAGCCACGAAGTGGATTCTCCTTTAACGTGACGTTTCCATCTCTGCAGCCCTCGGAGCACGCCCGTGCCTTCCTGCGCTCCGACAAGATCTCGCTGACGGACACCGACTTCTGTCCCAAGGAGGTACTTAAGTTCTCGCCCATCCCCACTTCCAAGTATTGCAAGCGTAGCAACTTTGAAAACTTCACCTCGATCACACAATACGACATGGACCTGAAGTTTAATAATGTAAGTACATTAGATATATAAACTATTGGAGCGTCTGCTGCGAAAAGTAATTAAAATTTTCAACTCACCTTTATTTTTTTAAGATGCCCGCCTGGTTCGAGCTGTGGTCGAATCGACTGGACCACTTAGTGTCCGCCTTATCAGCCGACAAAGTGGACAGTCTGCATATGAGTCAGGAGATAAATATTTCAATGCAAACTCCTCAGGACCAGTTCAGGTTGGCAGTAGAAGTCAACGGAGTGAAGTGGCGCTTCCATCAGATCCCTTTCTTCTACAAACTGGACTCAAAGTTCGACGCTTCCCACGAGTTCACCTTCGACTCAGGTCTTAAGCGCTCCTGCTCTGTTATCAATGGCGTGGTCAATACCTTCGATGATTACTTAATCAATCTTAGAGAGATTGCGGTGCGTCCCGATTGCCTCACTCTGCTGGTGGCTGACTGTTCGCCATTGCCCCAGATTGCCGTGTTTGTTACGCCTTCGCCTGCACAAGGAATGTCCAACAACTATGGATTACGAATCCATATCGGGCAAAACTACTTCAATTTCCGCGCCCGCACAGACAACAGCAGCCTGCCCTCAGACGAACCGGTGCTCATATATCTGAACCAGGATCAAACACCGCACGACGTGCGCAAGAAGCCCTATCAATGGCCAACGGAGACTAGTGACTACGACTTCCGGTAAGAATGCTTTCCAGCTATTATATAAACCCGAATAATATGAATATGATGACCCTTACAGCGTGGAACTGAACGAGCAAAATATTTTAATTGTGGAGTGTGCGCAGCTGTCCTCCACCATCCAGTTCGATCTGTACAACATCCTGAACTTTGAGATATACGGTGTTTACAAGCACCAGATGTGTGGGCTGTGCAGCAAGCCCCTAAACCGCATGCAGAATTATACGATCTGCGAGCTGGAGGCAAGCACTCCAACTCCTGTGCCGCTGCAGAATTCCTCCGATGTAGTTGTAGTTGCATAAATATAATATGTGAGTTTAATCTAAAATAAAAAAAGAGCCCAGAAAAGGGAGAACATGCAAGTCCCGGGGCTTTGATTTTTAAACCGCGAGCAGTTAATAAACTGGAATAGAAGTCTTCAAATTTAATGATACCTATAACGATATAGCTAATATCAATAGTTGTATTTCACATTTTACATTCTGTAAAACATGAATACTTATCTTAATGGAGGATTTGTAATCAGAAATTCTTTTAAGCAATTTGATTAACTTTAAATTGAAACCAAAAATTTTTGGACGTCATCTTCTGTTCAGTAAATATGTATAGACTTGTGGCCTTCAAATGTTGTCCTTTAAGAAAAGAAATGCATATTCAAAAACTTAGAAATAAGCTATTGTCAAATTCAAACGATGTATCCATTCTTATTGGTTGCAATAGTCGATCTGCTTTTCGCGATCACGATGCAATACGGTCAGCAGATGCAAACGGAGTTGGGGAACCGATTCCAACAACTGATTGCACAGTTTGCAAGTCATATGGGGTAAAGTACCCTCGCTAAAAGGATATGTAAAATGTTATAAAGCAATATATTCTTGTAAGTAACAAGAAGTCTTACAAGTTGCGCCATTTGTGCAACATGCTGCAGTTCTCTCTCAGATGCATCAAGCGACCCATGTCTTCCTCTTGGAGCTCAGTAAGTGAGTGCATCGGGAATATTGCCCTCTTGCCAAAAGGTTCATTCGGCATTGGCAGTTCGGGATTGGATTCCCATTCGAAATCCGAATTGCTCATATTTCTTTGCATATAACTTCGGTCCTTGCAAAGAAGCCTTCGAAAGAAATTTTAGCGAAATCATTTAAATAACACGACTGTAAGCGTAGCAATTTATCTAACCTATTTATCAGACTGCGCAGCTGAGTGTAAATAGAAACACGTTCATTTATACTAACAGCTGGATCTTTTTCCTCCTTAAAGTTGAAGAAGACACTATCTATATAGTAGCGAATTTGGTTAATCTAAAATACATATAAAAAGTGTAATAATATGTTGCATTCGGACTAGTCTGCGTGCTTACCAGAACCACATCATCTTCGAGAATGTTGACATCCAAATTAATCAACACATCATGCTCTGCGTAGTAGGGCTCGCCTGTTACCGGGTCACAGCCCAAACCTGCCAGAATAGACACATATGATGTGCCCTCATTATTGCATTTAAGTTGCATAGTGGGACAAAATAGCATAACCATTAGTGCACCGAATCCCTGCACATTGGGCATCAGTGTGGTTCCACGGGCTGTCAGTGTCTGTCCGTTTGTACTCTCTACGGTTGCGTGGGCCACAATCAAATGATCGTGGTGATCTTGAGGATCAGCGTCCAGCAGAACTGCATTAACGGAAGCGTTATCTATATTCACCCTTTTACTTGAGCCCACACGAATAATGGACTGCATGGAACATTCCAAAGGACTGGAGGGTCCTTTCAACATTACAATGGTGTTGCACTTGTCTAGCGGAGGCGGTGGTAGGTCGAGATCTTGCGGCAGCTGGCAGGATCGCAGGTACTCCTCATTGATTTGTTGACGTTCCGTCAAGGTCAAGTACCGGGCAGATTCTTGACGACGCAGCCGGAAATCATGATCCTTTCTAGACATATAATCTTCGTCGGACCGACGAGACAGCTTAAGCTCTACAAGCATATCGTTGATTATGCCATCTTTCATGGGAATGAGAACAGCTGCTACATTATTGAACAGCGAATACACCTCAATATCAATGCGACCGCATTTGGCCACTGACTTGAGCAGATCATTAGCCGCCGTGGGCCACCGATTGTTTCCGCTAACCACTGAAGAAGGCTGAACGTGTGCCAACCTGCATTCAAAAACACGTGGCGGAAGGTCGCCGTACTGTTGAATCAGCTCTTTCGGCATCAAACGCAGTTGCTGCATAGACAGCAAAGCGCAGTCTCCATAGTCGATGAAGCGAACGTAGAACATTGGTTGGCGATTGCTCTGATTCTCAGGTCGGATTACTGTGGCGCGCTGAAAATTACTATCGCGTTTAGCCAACACCATCATGCCCTTCGTGATGGCACCCGCGTTAATTACGTAATTTCTAAGTTGCTGTGGTGCATTGAAGATCTCGGACATATTTCGAATGCACTCTGCAAAAGATTGGGGTTGAAAAAAGAACTTGCCACAGCTGATAATCTGCAAGTTAGGAAAAATAAAATTCAGAAATCTTCCAGATTTGAAAGTTGCTGCAACTTACGCAAGTAATCAACCCTGTAATAGTTTTGCTGAAGACAGATGGCAGGGCAAGGAGCTCGACGTTTAAAGGCTTTGTGGGTGGAATCCATCGACCCTCAATCACATCCCCAATCCCTCGCTGCTGTACGTAGTTCATAAAATTATTTTGACTGAAAAATTAGAATGTAGTTGAGTAATATTAAGGTAAGGTAAGGTAAGGTAACTCACGTCATTATACGTATTGGACGTTGAATACGATCAAGGCGCATTCTAACTGCCTTGTAAACTTCACTTTGGACTCTGCCCGACACACTAACAAACTTAGACGAATCTGCAAGCCAATCATCTTGCTTGAATGTAACAAAGACCTTTTGAGAACCCTGTTGAAAGGTAACGTCTATGTTTTCCGGCGGAATCCTCGCCTCCTGAAAAAGCTCCTTAATGCGCCTCGTGTACAGCTCGCCCATATAAGCAGGCTTAAAGTTGGTAAAATAAACGGTGCGACAGGGATCGTGCCCCGATATCGTCTGGTATATATTGCGATCTGGTTCTGCACACGACTCCTTGGAACGCGTAAAGTAATTTGGGTAGAAGGCACCGGCGATGATCACTTTGAGAATGATCGATTTTTCACGATCTCCCATCATCTGGCTAGGATTAACTGCAAATGGAATCAGACCAAGATTGGTGCACCGCCAACGCAGCTCCTGCACCAGCAAGTGCATCTCCTTAAGTGACCGCAAGGAGACGTGGAAACGTTTAGCCCAACGGATGGCAGATTCCTGCTCGTGAGCAATTTCCACCATGTTCAAATAAGTCTGCCGGAGGAACATGTTATATTGTACCAAATTATTAGCAATACATTGCAGAACTTACCAGATACACACGCCAAATGGCCACCAAGTCGGAGCCAGATCCATCGGCGAAAATATAGTGCATCCAAAATGAATCGGCTCCTTGTGTCCTACGACCTTCGTTCACATACAAGCCACGCATAGATAAGCCAGCAGCTATAAAATGTTTTAGATAATACAAGGCAAATTATGTATATGTCCGGGAACTCATTATCTTTTGTCAGTGGTAATAGCTTCACCTATGATAATAGCTTCTTCGAGTAGGTTAAACACGTAACCCAATATGATGAGGCGGGACAGGCGTGTATCCAACGGCAGCCGGGACATGATGGTGCCCCAGTAGGTAATATCGCCATCCATCGCGTTGTAGACGCCGTCTACTGTTAGGAACAGAGCGCCCACCTCTTTCAGAAGCAATATTGTATTCTGTATGTCCGACAAATTTGGCGGAGATAGAGCCAATGCCAAAATTTCAATAGGAGATCCCATTTCCAGCTCTTTGGCCCTGAGCACCGAGTTTTGCAAGGGCATGCGTAACATTTCTGGTATTCCAAATTCGGCCATTTCCCTCTGGTAAAAAGATTTATTAACCATACGGTAAACGCGTCCACTTCGAAGACGTCCAACACGACCGGCACGCTGGCGACAATTGGCCTTGGAGGCCCAGGTTAAGCGAAGCGAAGAGAAGCTGGTAGCCGTATCGGTCACCAGCACTTTGGTTAGACAAAAGTCAATAACGTAAGAGACATCTGGCACCGTGATGGAGCTTTCAGCGATGTTTGTGGTCAGGATGATCTTGCGAAAACCAGGAGGCGGGGGATGAAAGACATCCCGTTGATTCTCCGGAGTCATCAAAGAGAAGCAGCGAACAATAAAAACCTTAATGTTACGGCTGCAATAAAACAATAAAGTTTAGAACAAGTGATTAAAATTATAATGCTACAATTTAGGCTTCTTCAAATTAGGAAACAATGCTAACTCGCTTTGCAGCATAGAAGTAATGTTTTCTGCCATGGTGTCGATTTCGTCGATGCCAGGCAGAAAGATGAGCACAGCTCCATAGCGCAGGGCTTCGTCGTAGCTCAGCCGCGACTGGATTGCAGCCTCCCGTTCCATGTTGTCAATAACCATTATGATCTTTACCGCCGCCCTGTAGCCGTGATCGTTGATTTGTGGAACGAGCTGGTCGTCCTCTTCTTCCTTCCACCTAATGCTGCCCATCTGGTCACGGTAGAACTTCTCGATTGCGTGCTTACGTCCATGACTGGCGGTGATCACCGGTGGAACTGAGTTCGTGGTGGTAAAGTAATCAGCCAGTTCCCTGGCATCGATGGTCGCCGACATCAGGATTATCTTCACATGCCGCGAGTTGGTAGCCAGCAAGCGACGCACCACGATCAGCAGAAAATCCATGTCCTGGTCTCTTTCATGCACCTCGTCCAGCACAATGTGGGTGTAGTGGGTCAGCGTCTTCTTATTTATTAAGTTGTTCAGCAGCACCCCGGTGGTGCAGTACAACAGACGAGTGTCCTCCAGAGACGTCGGGCGGTGCAGGCCCACTTGGTAGCTACACACTGTGTCCTGCTGCCATTCGCGCTCCTGGCACACTCTATTAGCTATGGAGATTGCAGCTATGCGGCGGGGTTGTGTCACCACAATGTTGCAGTACTTGCCGCTCTTATAACCCTCGTCCAATATGTATTGGGGCACCTGCAAGCGGTATTTTTTTTTATTCTTTAATTAGAGTAAAATGCCTAAAAGTTTTATTTTTTTGTTCACATTTTGCTAACAGTTTTAACAGTTTTTAAGGATCATCATTTTGCGCCTATTTTTGAAAATAGCAAATACATTATGAACACTACATATTTATCGATAGTTTCCTGCCAGTGTTGTTAAGCATTAGAACCGGCGAATGTTATTGTATACATTTTGAGGCGCCTTGGATGTAAGATGCGCAGATATTTCGCGTAAATAAGATCCAGAATGGAGTTGAATATCTTTCAAGACTGCTGGGAGCTGGTGCAACGTTTCCAGCGATTGGTCAACGATGGAGAAAGCTGCGAGTTCGAGGTGTTCTGTCGGTGCTGGCGAGAAATGCAGCTGCAGCACCTCTTCACTGCCCAGACGAACCACACAGAGGTGATAGCCACCACTTTGGCGGCCCTGCATGTAGCTAAGCGGCTGTCGTGCTCCCGACGCACAACCGGGGACGTTTACCCGGCAACCCGCGCGCAAAGGATTGGAGGATTCTATCTGCTGTACGTGATCTTCTACAAGCAGCCCACCCACAACTTTATTAAGATCGAGGTCTCACCGCGCACATGGCAGGAGCTAACAGACTACGCTCTAGATCTGCGCAAGGATAGTCCGGAGCGGAAGGACACCCAACAGATCGCCTACATGTTGTGGCGCCTGGTCCAGGAACAGGCCTTTCGCTTCACAGCGCTCGACTATTGCCAGGGGTTGGACAATTTGGTGGACTACGATCGTGTGGAGATCATAGCGGGTGCCAAGGAACAGAGACAGAGAGCCTTGATGCAGAAGCAACAACGTCCGAATAACGAAAGCCTCACATACGAACTGGAGGGTCTTCGAGCATTGGACCAGGCAAGTCAGCCATTGTGTGAACTGGAATCAGCATACAATGCCCAAAAGAAGAAATTGGCCGCTGGACATGAGCACGCTCTGCCGCCCACTCAAATTTTTGGCCATCTGCGAGAAGTCTTTGCCGATATACAAAGTGTTTTGGGAGCTAAAAAGAGCACTCCAGACGAGGAATGTCCCACAACATCTACAAGCAACCAGTTGGAAGTGCGCCAAAGGGTGCGGAACAAGGCCATGTACGGCGTCAAGGAAAGGGAGCCGCAACACCAAGAGGAGGAACTAGAAGTGGAGCTAGAGGTCAACGATGCTTATCAACGGAGGATGTCCTCAGCCACCGTATTCCAGATGGATCTGCCAAATGAGGTGCAGCAAGAGTATGAGATCTTTGACTTTAGTGACGACGAGGAAAAGGAGGTGGGGGAAAGCGAGGTCTCAGATGAAGAATTCAGAGAACTACTGGGTACTTGAGCTAGTTTATAAAACTGTTACATAAATAAAGAGCTCTCCATAATCAACGAATTCCTTATGTATTCATGCTATATGATCTTGATCTGGTAAAGAATATCTGATGTTTTTAAGAAAACTTACTCGACATAAAATATTAACAAATTCAACTAGTATGGATTTGACTTACAAAAGTCATAAGGTTCAATTATAATTCGTTTGCGTTGGCTACAGAAAATTAGGTATAGATTTCATTTATAGGTTAAGTTTTACTGTGCAACTCGCGTTTGAACTTCAAAGAGTGACAAAAAAAAAAATCCCTTGATAACGTGGCAACGCTCACCTGCGTGGTCTTGCCACATCCTGTTTGGCCCTTGAGAATGACGACCGGATGAGCATTGATGGCCGCCAATATTTCCTCGCGCTTGGCGTAGATGGGCAAATTCTTGTCGCGATTCAGATTGAATCTGTACCTCTTGTAGTACTCGTCATCCCGCCGAATTTCGGTCTCTTCCCCCTCATCGTCGGTGTCCAAATCGTCCAGCGTTCGATTACGTTTGCTTTGGGGACAGTCGTCGCGCAGCGTCTGAATCAAATTACACATAAACAAACAGAAGTGCTGACGCAGACTTTCAGTTCTCACCCTGTCGAGGAGACACTTTTCCTTGGCCACGATTTCGGGGACATAGTCTGTGCCGATCACTTCGCGTTTGGGCACTTTGGATTCGTTGGTCTCCGTGGCCATGATGCTCGGATCACTGCTGATGTAGCCTTGAGGGGCAGCCTCGCGCTTGAATTCCTTCGAGAAGTCGAAGAAATCCATCACTTCCTGATCCATTTTTACTGTTTTTTTTTACACAATGGAAGTGAAATTTCTGCTTTCCCGCGTAGCGTCTTAAGTTAAACGGTAAATTGTAGTGGTGGGGCTTTTGACATCAAAGGTGGGAATTGTAAAACTCGAATTGTATCGATAGTGCAATAATCGGTGTTGTAAGCTTTTCATAAAGGGTATTCGTATGTGCATTTATTTTAATTATCGATTCGGATATAAATGTTCGTATTCATTTAATTTCTGCTTCCATATTTGCTATTTATTGAAAATATTCAACTACGATCATTTTTAATACAATATTTAAGTATCGATTATAAGTAATAATCGGATATAATCGAAGTTATCCCAGCTCTAATTTGATCGGACAAATTCAATAGCAAAACAACTTTTTGGCAATTTTAGTTTAATTTGGTCGCAAACATGTCGCTATCTATGCGAATCTTCACCGCATCGCGCAACGGTAGGTGGCGACCCAACCCCTCACATCCTTCGTTTTCCGGGAAATCTAAAAATTTCCGTGAAAATCGCGCCGAGTGAGGTTATGTAAGCTTATGTCATACCAAAACAATAGACTAAATTCGCTTATTTGAAGATTAATTTCCGTTTTAAGAATATAATTTAATAGTAAAATGTGCTCCCCACAGGTCAGCGCATGTTTGGCAGCCATGGAGCCCGTCTGCTGGCCGCCCAGCGAGCAGAACCGAAAGATATCGTCGAGGTTCCCAAGGGCTATGTGTATGTAAACAACAAGGAGCTGAGCATGGAGTTTGCCGACATCACAGATCGTGCTGCCTCCACCATGTTCTTCGGCGAACTCTTTCGCGGATTTGCTGTCACCTTGGCGCACATCTTCAAGGAACCGGCGACCATCAACTACCCCTTTGAGAAGGGACCACTGAGCCCGCGATTCCGCGGCGAACATGCTCTTCGTCGCTATCCCAGTGGAGAGGAGCGCTGCATCGCTTGCAAGCTATGCGAGGCTATTTGTCCCGCTCAGGCAATCACTATCGAGGCGGAAGAGCGCGCGGATGGTAGCAGACGCACCACACGATACGATATCGACATGACCAAGTGCATCTACTGCGGATTCTGTCAGGTGAGGAGAAGCACAGTGGTGCCACTGTGAAATGGAATCTTATAGCAAATCCTTTCCGCCTTCAGGAAGCCTGTCCCGTGGACGCCATCGTCGAGGGACCCAACTTCGAGTTCTCCACGGAGACGCACGAGGAGCTGCTGTACAACAAGGAGAAGCTTCTTTGCAACGGCGACAAGTGGGAGTCCGAGATTGCCTCGAACTTGCAGGCCGACCATCTCTATCGTTAAAGTTTCTTGTACCCCTAGAATTCCTTGTTTAGAACGATTTTCCAATTAAAGATCGTTGCTGTGGCTTCGTCTTAAGCGATTGTCTAGTTGTACAAGATTGAAGGGTTCAGATAAATGATTTATTATTTCATTGCTCGACAGGCCAAATGTGGGGAAAATATTTTAAATACATTTATTATTTATATTCGACTATATATTTGTATTTGACTCCCGACGAAGTTTATTTCATAAACAGGCTAATAGAAAGAATATTTTCCGAAGACCGAGCGATTACAATAAATAAAACTTAGTTAATATCTTGATTACACAAATTATAGACAATTAATTCCACATGCTATTATGAAAGTTAGTTGCATTTTTTTTAAATTTACCTTGGGATTGGTAAAAAAAAAATGTACATAAATAATTTAAAACAGAAAGGCTTTCAAATTTAAATAATTTATTTATTGTGGTTATAGAAATTAATTAATAGCGATATTCTGGCAGCGACACTAAAAAATGGAACCACGCTGCGAGTGAATACGAATAGGATTTTGAAGTATTTTTAACGATTGTAGAAGCAAAACAAGATACAGATATTGTGCCTAACTGATTATTGCCCAGGTCCAGCCAGACTCTTCTCCATGAACTTCTTTTTGGCGAAGCAGGTCCACCACTTGTTGGGCTTGCCATCCTCGGTGTTGAAGACCTTCTCCAGCACCCGGTTGCCGGTTTCGTGGCGCAGCTGCAGAAGGTACTGGCGCATCAGATCCGCATCCTGGGCCGTTTGCGGCTTGGCATAGACGGCGTTCAATGGAAAGCCAGCATCGCCGGGAATGTCGAACTTGGAGATGGCCAGGCTGTACATGTCCTGCTGTCCCTGGGCCTTGCTCGTTGAACGATTGAGCTTCTTGAGGCACTCTGTTATGTAGAGCGTCACATAGATGAGCACGCGATCCACGTCGGACTGAATAAGGTAACCCAGAGTTGATGAATTTATAAGGATTCACTATAACCAGGATTCACTATAGTCACGAATCCCGGCTTGCGGCCTCACCTTGATTTCGTACGTGCGAAAGAACACATTGGCTTTAAAGAAATACAGTGACTCATCGATGATATCGCTCTCAATATTCGCACTGGGCGCTGGTCCGCGCACCTGGGTCCGCAGTGGCAGGATGGCCATGTTGCCCACCTGCTGGCGTACTTCCTTGATCTGCGAGTGATAGGCCTGAAAGCATTGTTAAGTTATAAAATTATCTTTTCCCCTGCTGCATGGCAGGGGGTCACGATGCCATGTGAAGAGAACAGGTAATATCTTAACGCCTTGAATTCATCTGGCTTTGACATGGAAGTATCCACTCACTGGCATGTTGAATTGTGGGTAATCAAAGATATAAATTAACGTTTCCAACGATAATTAAATTTTTTTGTTGTTAAATAAAAACTGTTGTATGTGTCTACTGTTTACAGATTTCCCAGCCCTGGCTTATCGACTAGCCCGATAAGTCAAGACCTATTTGAGTATTTTTTAGACCAAATGGTCACACTTGCCATTAAAGGGCTAAATTTTTAAAAAAGCCATTAGCAATAAACATTTTTTATTTGGTAATTAATATTTATAAATTATGTTTACGTAGCATTAAGCTATCGGCTTTACCTGTCAGAATCAAAGCGTCGAATGTTAAACAAAACAAGTTTAAGTAAAAAGTTTAAAATTTTCAATGTGTGCGCCATCCACAAAGGAATTCGAATTTGACTTCGCTCTTTATGGATCGGAGTAAAAAATTCATGCAGAACGTGGCCGATTTGGCTTGCCAAATGAATCTCAACCAATTGGAAAGATCCACAATGGCTTACAAGTGTCTATGCCTGGAACTGGAGTCCATGAGCAATGCGGTGATTCCAGCCGTTACTCCTCCGACGTCTCCTCCTCCAGCGGCTGGCGTTCCCTCTAAGGGACTCCGGGCAAGTGCTTCAGAATTCGTGCCCCAAGTACCACTGACCAGTGACCGGATTTCCATTGAATTGGACAATGAACAGGATGAGGATTCGGATAACGATGGCTACGATGAGGAGCGCAACCGAGCTGTAAGTATGGGCCTAATATCTACATTTTTCAAAAACTGCAACTTTAATCTATATAAAGGGTGATATTATGATTATAAAGCCCATTTATAATAGAAAATATTATATTTCCTGAAAATAAATCTACTTCCCCTAGCCAAAGCCCGCAATCTACGGCCTCCGGTTTTATAGCCATCATTATGACGTGGACGTGAGCGATAATCACTTGGAGGCGGAAAAAAAGCGAAAGTATGGGTATAGGGCTCCAAAGTTTAGGCCAAACCAACCACCTGGTCAGTCCGTAAAATCGGAAACAAGCTCCACTGCCATTGCGAAGCCTCCACCGGAATTGGTCAACGGACAGCCGCATTTCAAAGGACCCTACATGCCACTTCTGCAGCACAGAATCTCCAACGCAGAGGCCTACGGGCTCATCCAGGGCTCGGACGAGCGGAACAGCCTGCTCCTGGAGGATATGGTCAAACAACTGGCCCGCCTGGATAACTGTCCCTTCAATCTGAGCTCCCTTTTCCCGGACAAAGGTGAACAGAAACTAGCACCCTAGATAGCACTGTATATTCTATGAAAAGTATGAATTTCTTATTAAAAGGAGGCCATGACTAAATACTCTGCTATTCAGCTTTATCATTTGTTGCATACGGTCGCTAGTGCTTTTTAGCAGTAAAAAAAAATGGTAAAAAAAAATAAATCCAAATCTGTAGAGAACCATAAGAAGGCGAACGTTGTAAGTTTTTGAGGCTTCCCAAATTCGCAAGCCATAATTTCCCTTACAGCCTCTAGCTAAAACAAAGGCGGAAACGCCGTGCACTAAGGATACGAAGGAGATTGAAGCAAAACCATCTGAAAACAAGGAAAGTTCTCCTAGGATGGCCGTGGAGAAGGCTAAAACACACCGGGACCAGATGTCAGCTCTTTCCACAATGCCACTGCGTTTGGATTACCAAATCCAGTGTATCAAAACTCTTCAGCAGGAGCTCTTCAAGCTTCACCTGAAGCAGATGTTGCTCCTCGACGGCTGCGCCGATTTCCTGCATGAACTGAATAACGTTCAGCCGACTGATGACTGCGAGGAGAAAATAGTTTTGGAAACATTTCGCGAGGTCAAGTCGAAGCTATCGGACGTATTCGAGCGCTACCTTCCCGCTCAGCTGGATATGCTGAAACAAGAATCGAAGATCTTGCAAATGTCCAGCGAAATGATTTCAAAATAATTTCATTATTATTATTTTTTTATTTTGATTTATAACGAAAAATATAATGAAATCGGTTTATTCTAAAACAACACGTTTGAAAAATCGTTAGAGCTTCCATTTATTAAGCAAATATCGTCTATCGATTAGGGATGTTGTGATATTAAAAAAATATCGCTTCGATGATTGCCTGGTTGTTCAAGAGGGATGCCAATGTGATCTTGCAAGTAATCACACTTAAGAACACATACACTACACTCACTGCTCGACCGGTAAGAAAGATTACTTGGAATATTTTGTGACTCTAAATTAGAAGACATGCCTTACAGTCCTCACTAGAACCAGTTGGGAATTATAGGGCTATAGGGCACGAAAAATCTACAATTTGCCATAAATATTTACACTTTGTGGGCAAAATTTAAAGATTTTTCGGTTTCAATTACCAGGCGAACAGGAATTCCAGAAGGTGACCAACGATCGTTTGGTTTTCGGTAGCAACTTGCTGCTGATTATGATCGCCTGGTAATTCAGTCCGAAAAATCTACAATTGCCAAAAAAAATTAACATTTTGTAGGCAAAATTGTGAGATTTTTCGGTTTAAATTATTAGGCGATCATAATTTCAAACACTTGTATAAATAATACTTGCCTGGTTATTTGTTCAAGAGGGATGCCAATGTGATCTTGCAAGTAATCCAGAACGCATACACTACTACACATACACTACATTCACTGCTCGACCGGTAAGAAAGATGACTTGGAATATTTTGTGACTCTAAATTAGAAGACATGCCTTACAGCCCTCACGAGAACCAGTTGGGAATTATAGGGCTATGGACACGAAAAATCTACAATTTGCAAAAAAAATATTTACACTTTGTGGGCAAAATTGAAAGATTTTTCGGTTTGAATGACCAGGCGCACAGGAATTCCAGAAGGTGACCAACGATCGTTTGGTTTTCGGTAGCAACCTGATGCTGATTATGACCAAACACACATATGTACATACATACATACATACATACATACATACATACATACATACATACATACATACATACATACATACATACATACATGCCCATAAAATGTAAATATTTATGGTAAATTGTAGATTTTTCGGTTTGAATTACCAGGCGCACAGGAATTCCAGAAGGTGACCAACGATCGTTTGGTTTTCGGTAGCAACCTGCTGCTGATTATGGTCGCCTGGTAATTCAATCCGAAAAATCTACAATTTACCATAAATATTTACATTTTGTGGGCATGTATGTATGTATATATATGTATGTATGTGTGTATGTATGTATCTATATATGTATGTATGTATGCAGGTATGTATGTATGTATGTATGTATGTATGTATGTATGTATGTATGTATGTATGTATGTATGTATGTATGTATGTATGTATGTATGTATGTATGTATGTATGTATGTATGTATGTATGTATGTATGTATGTATGTATGTATGTATGTATGTATGTATGTATGTATGTATGTATGTATGTATGTATGTATGTATGTATGTATGTATGTATGTACATATGTGTGTTTGGTCATAATCAGCATCAGGTTGCTACCGAAAACCAAACGATCGTCGGCCACCTTCTGGAATTCCTGTTCGCCTGGTAATTTAAAACGAAAAATTTCACAATTTTGCCTACAAAATGTAAATATTTATGGCAAATTGTAAAGTTTTCGGATTGAATTACCAGGCGATCATAATCAGCAGCAGGTTGCTACCGAAAACCAAACGATCGTTGGTCACCTTCTGGAATTCCTGTTCGTCTGGTAATTTAAACCGAAAAATCTCACAATTTTGCCTACAAAATGTTAATTTTTTTTTGGCAAATTGTAGATTTTTCGAATTGAATTACCAGGCGATCATAATCAGCAGCAGGTTGCTACCGAAAACCAAACGATAGTTGGTCACCTTCTGGAATTCCTGTGCGCCTGGTAATTCAAACCGAAAAATCTACAATTTACCATAAATATTTACATTTTATGGGCATGTATGTATGTATGTATGTATGTATGTAGGTATGTATGTATGTATGTATGTACGTATGTATGTATGTATGTATGTATGTATGTGTGTTTGGTCATAATCAGCATCAGGTTGCTACCGAAAACCAAACGATCGTTGGTCACCTTCTGGAATTCCTGTGCGCCTGGTAATTCAAACCGAAAAATCTTTCAATTTTGCCCACAAAGTGTAAATATTTTTTTTGCAAATTGTAGATTTTTCGTGTCCATAGCCCTATAATTCCCAACTGGTTCTCGTGAGGGCTGTAAGGCATGTCTTCTAATTTAGAGTCACAAAATATTCCAAGTCATCTTTCTTACCGGTCGAGCAGTGAATGTAGTGTATGTGTAGTAGTGTATGCGTTCTGGATTACTTGCAAGATCACATTGGCATCCCTCTTGAACAAATAACCAGGCAAGTATTATTTATACAAGTGTTTGAAATTATGATCGCCTAATAATTTAAACCGAAAAATCTCACAATTTTGCCTACAAAATGTTAATTTTTTTGGCAATAATATATATATAAATATCAAACAAATATCGCAATATCGATATTTGAGCAAAAACAATATCACGATATAAATATAAAATTTTCAGAAAATTATCGATATATTGATATTTTGATATATTATCAACAACTCTACATCTCTATTTAAAAGCGCGTAAATTTGTAAACTTTTCCGAACTAAATATGAATCCACCGCCTTCCCGGGGGCGAGCCCCCTCGCGATTTGTGCGTGGGCGTGGTCGCGGAGGCGGAGCTTACCGTCCGTACTTCTACTTTCGGCGCAACGGACGTGTGATCCCAGCCGGAGGCAATCGCCAACCAAACCAGGGGGAACCTGGAGCACCAGACGCTCCGTCTGTTTCGCCTGCAACCCGGCAACCCAGGGGCTGGAACCGCGCAGCCGGTAAGCGAGGTCACCATGCTCACTTAGACTGCAGCTTTCTGCGGCCGGAAAACTACGCCGCTCCGGAGGACGGGCTCCAGGTGCAGAGTATCGCGGTGGACAATCCACGGGCTTATCCCGGCTGGCGGCTGTACTTCTTGCGCGAGAAATACGAGGAGGGCAACGAACTGGCCGCACGGGTAATGGCCGTGGAGGCATACTACCAACGTAATCCTCTCACATTCGATTTCGTGATGATACGGGATCGGGGCTTCTTTCCTCTCTCCGCAACAGGCATTACATCAGATGCCCAACTGAAGGAG